CCCTTTAAGCACAGCCCTCGGCTAGCCTGAGACAGCATCTCCACGCTCTAAGTCCTCCTCTGATGCCCTGCCGGCACTGCTTCCGGCCATCCTTAAGCCCGGTTCAGGGTCCACTTAATGTGGACATGCTAGTTTGAATTAGCAAAACGCTAATTCGAACTAGTTTTTTAGTCTGGATCCGTTAGTTCGAATTAGTTTAGTTCGAATTAGCTTAGTTCGAATTAACTAATTCGAACTAAGTTAGTTCGAATTAACGTTGTAGTGTAGACATACCCCCCGAGAGCTGTTGCAAGAGATCATCGTCTTTCATGTAAGTAGATCATTAACATCAAGTAAATGGGAAAAATAGTTTTGGGGCTAAGGCACCAGTAGCCTTGAGCAAGTCACTTAATCTGTACTTCTGATCCCCATTAAGGATGTTAAATATTAGTTAATTGACTAGTTGAGTAGTCGATGGAATGTTCATCCCTTCTCAGCCTCTTGAAGGCCAAGTTCAAGTGTAGTGTATGTTCTTATCAGTTTAACCACTGGTAGGTTCTCTATGTGAGAACTGAGTGTAAAATGGATTTTTTTGCGACAGGGGCTGGGAAAGGGAGCTTGCTCCCTCCACTCTGCACATTGGCCTGGTATCGCAGTACCTCCAGGGGCAGTGCAAAAAATTTGGGGGGAAGTGAAGGAGGGAGATCTAGGTTGGATATCAGGAAAAACTATTTCACTAGGAGGGTGGTGATGCACTGGAATGGTTTACCTAGGGAGGTGGTGGAATCTCCATCTCTAAAGTTTTTTAAATCTTGGCTTAAAATCTTGGGTTGATTTAGTTGGGATTGGTCCTGCTTTCAAAGGATAAGGTAGATTAATCTTGATGATGAAGAACAGCCATTATTTTGGTTAGTTTTATTAAAAAAGGAGGAATGCAGAACTCCATGTGCAGCCCGGGGCCAGAGGGAAGTCCCGCTGATTCTGGGCTGCACAGTGGGGACTCTTGTGCATTTCAAAGCCACAGCTCAGCATGGAGCCCAGGGTCAGTAGGGGACCCAGATTTGAAATGCTGCGCGGAGCCAGTATCAGCTGGGGACTCCCCAACTGACCCTGGGTTCCGCAGAAATGCTGCAGAGCCCAGGATCAGCTGGAGAGTCCTCTGCTGAGCTCAGGCTCCACAGTGCCACTTTGAAATGATGCCTCGGAGCTTCAAAGGAGCAGCACCACACAGCTGAGCTGCCGCGTATCAGTTGTGTGGTGCTGCCCTTTGAACGCCGCCTTTGCAGCGGGATTGACTAGCTGACTGACTATCCGATAAGCTTTTGCTTATCGGATAGTTCCCCAGTCGACTAGTTCTTAACATCCTTAATCCCCATAAAAAAGAGATAGTAGTATTTCCTTTTTCCTATCTTTTGTCTGTCTTGCCTATTTTGATATTAAGATCATTTGAGTAGGGGCTGTGTCTTACCATGTATTTGTGCAATGCTTAGTACAATGGGGCATTCCAGGACATTCCAGGATTTGCCGGTGAGCTGGTGAGGTTCAGGATCAACCCCACCAGCCGGACAGAACACTGCGAGAGCCTATCCTTAGGGCTCTGGGCTGGGACCCATGAGAGAGGGTGGGCCCAGGCCCCCCTGCCCTGCATCCCCTGGCTGAGGAAAGGAGGAGAATTGTTGTTTGGAACTCTTCCCGCATGCAGGACAAGGGGGCGTGGTGGGCATTGGACCTGTGTGCGCAGCCCGCGCCGCTGAACTAAGAAGCAGACTCGGGGGGTGAATGGGCACATTTCTACAATAACAAACAAAGGTAAATAAATACACATTAAGGCTCTTTTTTTTTTCAAAACATGATTTTTTCAATTATAATTTCCTCACTTCTCTGATTCATCACGTGAAACAAAACAAAGAGTATTCTGATATATATTCATTTTGTGTCATACTTATCAAAAATCATAATCATATTTTTGGAAGAAAGTGGAATGTTTATTACATTGCCGACTCTTTTGATGCTCCTGGAGGTATAAATGTTTTTTTAAGTTTGTAGATTACTGACACTGTAAATTTTAACTGTTCCTTCTGTGCCTTTGTAGTCTGAGTCAGTTTGACTATTGAAAATGAACTTATGGGGCACATTTTGAGGAAGGTACACTGGGATGTGCATTGTGGTTCCCATTAATGTTAATAGGCATTACACAAGTAAACCTCCTTGCATTACATTTATATTTACTTCTAAGGCAGGGAGGGATGAGTTGTAAGCACTACAGTGTACCTTTTAAAAATCAGTGGCAGTGTATATGGCTGATTTTACAAGTCATGGATTGATGCGCTCCCAGTTGGATATCAGAAAGCATGACCAAGTCACATAGCATATACTAAAAGCCCTTATGACGTGTTTGTAGGAAAACCTTACTGAATAAAGAACAGTCTATTTTGATAAAGTTAACACTTTAGGTACATCTACACAGCAATATTATTTTGAAATAACTAGCATTATTTCAAAATAACGTAGTCTGCGTCTACACAGCAGGCAGTTATTTTGAAATACTGACAAAATACTGTCAAGCTGGAGGACTTCTTACTCCAACTCCTGTAACCTTCATTGTACGAGGAGTAAGGGAGGTTGGAGGAAGAGTGCTCTATTTCAAAATAAGTAATATGCAGTGTAACGGACCGGGCCGTCAAGCCACGCAATTGACATAGCTCAATTTGTGTAGCTTATTTAGAGTTAAGCCCTGCTATGTAGATGCACCCTTAGTCTCCACTCACTTGTATGCCAGAAGCCAACCACCTTGTTCTGTGTGCATATATTCCAGAATTAATAGACCATACAATGAATGGTGTAGAAAAGTTAGCATTCTATAGGGTTACCACACTGTGAAATGGGGCAACCATAGTCCCCCTTTATACCTGGAATTGGAAATAATTTCAGTATCTCAGATAACATGGGGAACATAACAGAAGGAAAAAGCTCACAATAACAGAAATCAGTTTACTTTTTTTTTTACAAGTGATCATTTATGTAAATGTTTCTGCCTGTAAACTCCATTCCACCGCATCAAGGTGACATACCACACATGCATAATGTCTCCCAATGTTATTTCCAGACCTTGATCTGCAGAATGTAAAGTGTCACTTATTATGAAGTCCACACAATCAACACGGCTTCTGTCATTTTTTTTATGTGTTTGCTGTTCTCATTTGATAGGCACAGCATGTCAGAAGCCAGTGGGAAGCAAACACTACATTCACAGTGTGGTGTCTTTTGTTAATTAGCTGACTCAGGTGCATAATGTTGCCTGCTTAGCGTCTACAAAAATCTGCCCTGTTGCTACACTTTCCAAAAGGGGAAATATTGCTGGAGCTAATCAACATTCCAGTTTGAAAGGTGATCAAAAATGAAAGCGTAATATGGAAAAAAATATTATTATTGTTTATACTGAACAGTACCACTATTATGGCTCTGGCACTTTTGCAGACAAGTAACGTGATACTTTCTCAGTCCCAGGGACTTAGGAATGAGGAAAAAGTAACCACCGATATAATTAAATCACACACAGACATTATACAAACACATGAACAGCTTACATAGGATTATCAGATAATAAGCTTCTATTCAATACCTCACATGGCCCCCTTGTATACCATTTTTGGGGCCAACACCTCCACCTATGGGTGCATCAGTGATCTGGCTGCTCCCCTCAAGATCTAGCAATGTGACATGCAGATGCTCCCAATTTTGAAATAGGCTATTTTGAAATAAGCTATGCAATTGATGTAGCTCAACATGTGTATCTTATTTCCAATTAAACCCTGCTGTGTAGCTGCACCTTCAGGGACTAAGGGGTTTCCTCTAACCTAATAGTAGCAGAGTGGCTTAACCCTAACCCTAACCCTATCATATTTCATGTTTTTCAATAAAAGATGAGAGACAAATAAATATGGATAAAAACAAATGTTCCCTGGATTCAGGTCTTTCCTGCCAAATGACTTTACTGATGAGTTTTTTTCTTTACTCATCTCTCTCCTTTTTCTACCCCCACAATGAAGATTACAAAGGAACAGCTGCTCTAACTCTCACAAGATATAGTACCAAGGGGAGCCATAGAATATCAATTTATCCCAAATCTGTATAAATAGTTTAGGAATGATTTGTGTGTGATGGAATGGAATGCTAAAGTATGTGGTTCTATCTTCCTCTGACAAGCAGTATGTTCTGTAGTGCAAGGTTTCAACCAAGGATGTAGAACCCTACTATACTCCATGTTCCATGTCCCTCCTTGGATGTGCAGAAATAGGAAGGGGAAAGGGTTTGGATGGAATCCTGTATTCTAGCTAGTGAAGGAATCAATCAATTAGAGGGTTCATGATTTTTTTTTGAGAGGGAAAAGGGAGGGGCAGAAGAAGGGACAACAAACACAATAGTACGAGCTTCCACTCTCCTGTGATCTCTTCTATGCAAAGTGATCAGAGGGCCCAGCACAATGGAGCACAGTCTTGATTGGTTGCTGGGTACCAAATGCAACAATACTATTAAAATGAGGCTGCCAGCAGTATGGATGTGCTTACCTGTGTTTCCCCTAATCTAAGAACATAAGAATGGCCATAATGAATCAGACTAATGGTCCATCTGACTCAGCATCTTGTTTTTCAGCATAAGCCAGTGCCAGATGCTTCAGAGGGAATGAACAGAACATGATGATTATCAAGTGATCAGTATCTTGTCATCTAGTCCCAACTTCTGGTAATCAGAGTTTTAGGGACACCCAGAGCATGGAGTTGCATCCATGACCATTTTGGCTAATAGCAATTGATGAACCTATCCTCCATGAATGTATCTAGCTCTTCTTTAATCCAGTTATCCCTTTGGCATTCACAACAACCCCTAGTCTTCAGTCGAGCTCTCCATGCTGCTCCTGTCTTTGGCTGGTGCTTTTAGTACCTAAGTTTTCTCCATTTCCTCCTTTCATGTAAATTTCCCTTTCTACCAAAATCTTGTCACACTGCACTTCCTTCTCCCCCAAATCACCTTACTCTCCTTCATCTCAAGACATTCTCCTGCCTCCTTTTCCCCTCAAACATCTCCTCTTCTTCCTCTGTACTCACTATCTATTCCTCTGCCTCACATCTCCTCACCCTCCCCAGTCTTTTCTTCCTGACCCAAAGTCCCATTACTTTTTTGTGCCTAATCTTTATTCTCTTTTGTGTTTTCCCCAACTCCTCTTAAGCTATCCTCTCTCTTTCCAAATCTCCTTCTCCCAGTCTCTTTTTTCTCCCTATCAACATTCCTAGCCCTTCCCTCCAACACAGCTGTTCTACTCTGTTGTCATCTCACCTAGTTCTTCACAAACAACTCTCAAGCATGTTACAGTCTCTTCCATTTTCTAAGCTCCCATCCCTTCCATATTTCCAGTCTTTCCACCTCCAGCAAGCCCTCCCCATTCTCCTGTCTTTCACCATTCTTTCCTCTTGTTCTCCCCAAATCCTTTGTATTGCCCCCCAGACCGTCCTCTTTTGGCCCCATATTTTCCCCATCTTCTTCCTATAAATCACCCTCTTCTCCCAATCCCCAGCTTCTTCCCACCTCTAAGCCATCTCTCCCTACTTTCCAGTCCCTGACTCTCCTTTCCCTCAATTTCCTCCCACACACGCCTCTTTTTGACCAGGTCCATTTCCATATCA